TATAAATATTTGTTTATAATAAAAAATGCAGTTATTGGAATTAAATCGTCACAGTTCATTTTACTCATTAATTACTCATTAATTATACTCATTAATTCATATTCATGTACAAAAAATTTGATTATAAATAAAATAATTTCTTAAATGCTATATTTATATACTATAATAAAGAGTTTTTAATATTCAATCCATTCCATGAAGAGAATTGCTGAATTTACATCAAAAAGTTTGAATATATTCATTTCTAACTATCTGGGTATAAATATATTCGCTTTATATAAAATGACTTGAATTGTTAAAACTGATTAATAAACTTATATTTTAATCAATACAAGAGAGATACTCTTATATAATTTTTTTTTTTAAAAACAACCACTGTTAGCGCTATACACTATATACTATACACTATATCCTTCAAAATATAAATATATCAAAAGCAAATATTATAATTGAACCGATTGGATTGGATGAAGTATAGGTATAAAGAAATATGACAACACATGCAAATGAAAAAAACTACGATTTCACATAGACTCATTACCCAATAAATTGAAACATAAATAGATTATGCTCGATTTCCCTCCCACTACTTTTTACAAACATCAAAAAGTTACTTTAAGAAAAGAAATTTGTCTCCAGAAAAGAGGGATTGCGGAAACTGTGTCCAATTTTCAGATCAAAAACAAATTGTTCTTCAAAAAAGCATCGAAAAATAAATTAGAAAAACATTGGTAGAATATAGATATCATTCATAAAGAACATGCTCTCCTATACATATATATATAATATATATATATATATATATATATATATAAATATGACCTTGCCTCAACTGTAGTTGAATTTCAATTGTCCGCGGATAGAACACATCCAATCAAATGGGGGCAATTTTTTTGCAGAAGAACCGATCATGTCTTAACTCTACCACTTAAACAACAAGAGCTATCAATTCTGAATAGTATACAATCATTTATTTGCCACAAGTCATCGGAAAATTGAATAAAACCAATCCTCGAAGAAAGATCATCTTCCACCACTACAATGTATGTTTCCACACTTCACATCAAACGAAAGAGTTTTTGAGCACCCAAAATTTGAATTAATGTGTCATTCACCTTACAGTACTAACTTGGCACCCAATGACTTCTTCTTATTCTCAAAAATTATGAAAAAAATGCATGATGAGCCTTTTTGCGTACCGTTGAGATTATCACAACCCTGATTTTGGAGATACAACTTCAGAGTAGCAAAACTGTGTTTAAAATCGGTTTAATCGAATAAAAAAATATGTATTGATTATCATGGAAATCACTTCGAAAAAGAGTAAAATAATTTTTACTGTTTAAATACTGTGTTGTTATTGTTAGGCGCAAGATTTAAAAGGCTGCCCTCGAATTATAATTTCATATAATTTTTTTTTGTTTATATTTTGAATTGAATTACTCTTAAGTTGTTACTCTTAAGTCACCATTTTATCTGAATTTAACAACTTTTTTTTTTTTGCAAATAATCTCATTGAAAACTATATCAGATTTGGAGTTAAAAGTTGCACGGGTGCAAATCCAATTTCTAATATTCAGAAAACAAAACTACTTTGTTTTAAAGGTGTGGTTGCCAAATGCAACGTTCATTTTTCAAAAATCTACGTCACATGGATTGATCTACTCGAGTTATTATACGATCCATGCTTAGATATTAAGTCAGTAACATGTGCTTACCACTTCAAAGTCATAGCCGTTGTGAACTTTCCAGCCGACAAATCTCTTTAAAAATAAAATTTATTAAAAAAAAAATAAAAAATATTCTTAATCAATTTTATAAATGGAAATTCTGCAAGGAATTTATTAATACATTCAATATTTGTGGAAGTAAGATGAATTCGATAATGAAAACCTCAAAATGAATAAATTTTTAATTAATGTTTATTTAAAAAATTAATTTTTTATATAAACATTTATATAGTAATGCAAGTTCATATATATATATATCAATAAAAATGATGAAGTAGTAGCAAGGTGTTTATAATATTAATATAAAAATGGTTTTTACATAGTTGAATTTTTTTTTTTCGATTATAGTTAAAGACTCATTATCAGTGGTCTTTGAAAATGTTTATAATTTAATTTTATGTTTATAATTTTTAATTGTTAAAAAACGTTGACTTACGTCCACAAATATTTTTTTCTAAAATAACAAAATCGCTGTAACATATTACATTACTTGGCATCGCTAGATTTACGCGGTGTTTTCCCATCAGAAAATAGTATTCAATCAACTCACGTATCTGAAAAGACGTATATATTACATATGTATATATGTAATTATACATAAGGCTTGTAAATAGTTTTATAAATTATCTATGCTTATATTTTGTGTATAAATAATATTTATTTATAGTCTTTTATGGCTAACTGTTTACCAATCTACAATAGTTTGCACTGGGAATTCCCCCTCATATCGTTAAATGTGTGTGTATGAAATTATATTTTTAATTTATTCTCTCAATTTATAATTGATAACACATTTCATCATATAATATAGATACGAGGGAGATGTAATAAATTGTAGTATTGAAAATTTCAATACAAGATTAGTTCAATTATAAAATTAAGCTCATTATTATTTATATTTGTATTAAAGTGATTTATTTTAATAAATAATTTAATTGTATTTTAATTGTGTTTAATTGTCATTGTCACTATTATTGCATATATGAAATATATATATACAAAATTTATTTATTTTCATTTTTTCTATTGCTGCAAGTCATTTTTAAGCTATACCTTTCAAAATAATACGTATTTATATTAGAATATTCCACTATATGGTATATAATTGCTTCATAGTGTTACATATAATATAGGAATAATACAATATTTGTTTATTATCAGATTTCTGAATATCTATCTGTTCACTATAATGCAGTTCTACTTACTATTCCCAATGAAAATCCTTTAAAAATTTCAAAACGTAAGTTTTAAAAACAATTTTCCTAAAAAATTAATTTCTTAAATAAATTATATATCTAATATCGCTATAATAAATTTGTATAATTTTTTTTTTATAATATCAATATGTTGCATATATAATTTATATTCTATTTGAAAACTCTACTAAACTCTTAAAATACAAAAATGATCTGAGCAAGATTTGGGAGCGATCTTCACAAACAAAATAAAATTTAAAAATATAATTTATCTATCAATCAATTTACTCTTTCAGTTCGTTTATGAAACAATTTTGAAATTTCTTTTAAAACCATTAATCGCTTTGCTCTCATTCCGAATATAACATTCAGCAGATAGACTTCAACATGAACAGATACATTTCTACCTATCACGGAGAGGATATTTTCAGTATTAACCGAGGTACAGGATTTTAAAACGTGGTCACATATTCACATAAATCACTTCATCTCTAACACTAACTATATCTATTTATACCAGAATTGATATGGTAAATGTTATTTTTCTCAAAATTTCTGTAAAATCACTTTTTATTCTTTTTTTGTATATCAATACTTTATAATTATACTTTTTATTTATTTCAAAATAAATATAACAAAATATTTTGCAATTATTTATATAATATAATTATTATTATATTAGTATAATTATAATTATATAATTATTATTATAATCATGTTGAAGCTAGTTGAGTCAGTGGATATTACTCTCTACTCACTGCGAGGTTTCTTCAAAACCTCTCTCTACGCCTTGACTGGATTATTGTTGATCACTTTATCAGACTAAGCAATAATTGACCTCAGATCTGCATACCTCCCCGAGGAACCTGTAACCATTCTGAGATTAGATAACGTTGGTAAGTGTTGGTAAGTCTGTCAGTTTTCGTAAATAATTTCAGGGCTCTATTATATTTATACCATTTTAGACAAAAATTTCTATATTATTTATTAATTATTAAATTATTTATTAATATTATAAAAAATAAAATTTTTACTAACCAATGAATTTATTGGCCAAAATCAACGAAAAGTGAGGTTAAATGGTTAAATCTGAAAAATAAAATATTCTTATTATCTAACAAAATTTTTGCATTTAAAATTTAAATTAATTAATTGTTCGTTCCTTCCTTTTTACCTCCATAATAATATTAAGCCATTATCCATTATCCTTACGAGTCTGTAAACTCGTATACAAATCTAAATTTTCATATTTATCACTTTTATAACCGAGCATTATCTTTCAGATTTTTTCGATTATGCAGCACGAACTCGGTTTATCTTTCATATTCAGTTTTATTCTCTGGAGTTATGGGAAAGCTATATATAATCTTTGGTAATATGTATTAAGAAATATCTGTTGCATTTATTATTATTATAATATTTATTTATTAATATATTTACGTAATAGTAAACAAATTATTTTATTATTATTTTCTTATAACAGTTGAAGTCAACAAAAATAAATAAAATTATAGTTCTAGTCTATCGTTGTTACTTTTTTGTCACTTTATAATAATAAATAGTAAATATACTTTAAATATTTATTTTGAAATATATTATATATATAACAATATATTTCAAAAAATATATTTTACTAATTAACAAACAAAGAAATGTTTATAAATAATACATTTTGTTGATATTATTTCTTTAGAATTCGAATTACGATTTTAATAGATAATAAAAAAATGAGCTCTCATTACAGCTCATCTTTCAGAATATATAAACATATTTCATTGGTACTTCTCTCAAAAACAACTTCAACTGCTTGTTCCCTTGATTGTAAAACACAAAATTTCATATTTCTATTTCTTGCCCCCGTCAGTTTAATCTGAAATTTATATTCAATTATTTACTAACTCTCTTTAATTGATCTTATGTATGATCTTTTCTTCTCAATTTGTGCAAAAATAATCAGACAGATTGCAAAAAAAGACAGGTTTCTAGTTTAAACCAACCACATGTATCAGAGAACTCCCAAACGAATAAGATGCAAAGTATTTATATACAGTAATTTCGTCTCTGAACTGTAGTTCTAAGTGAAATCTCGTGTAGCAAACAAGTGCCAAGCTTCTTCTCATCAAAAGCTAGAAATTAAAAAATTTATTTGATAATAATCGACAATAACGTGTGTGTGAAAAATAATTAAAAATAAATTTAATTTGATAGTATTTTCCCATCCGTCATCGGTTCACTAGTTCAAACAATATGTATCTAAAATTTTTTTCCATTTTATTGTTAAGTGTTATAACTGTGCAGGCATTTCATTTACCACCAGATGGTGAAATGGATGACATATTCGGGGAAGAGGTTGCTAACAAGTATAATCGTTTATCATATCAATTTGATAGTAATGAAAAACCAAACGATTTAACAGCTAATAATATTGGTCAACATAAATCCAAATCAGAAGTAAAAGGACATACGCATAGTGACAAAATTATATTCCCATCTACATTTCATCATTTTCCTCCCTACCTCCCAGACCCAACTGAAGACGACAATACAAATGAAAACGTTAATTTTGAAGACAAAAATACTTTCGAAAACAAAATCAATGATATTCCAATGGTTTTTACAAATGTTGCACTAAAACCAGTTATACAGAATAAGCCAATAATATTTCCAACAGATGAAAGATATATTATTTCGAAAACCGAAACAAAAAGTGATGAGTCTGATAATGAAAGTGATATCAGTACTGGAAACCTTAACGAAAAACTAACAGATACAAATTCGATTGAAACTTATTTTCTTAATCGTTTATTTAGCATTAGAAAACAAAATAATAAAATAGATCAATCAGATGAATCAGATGAATCAGATGAGTCAAAAGAATCAGATGAATCCAATAAAACAAACCAACAAACCAGTTTAGAAAATCTTTTGAGTGATATATTTGCAGATGAAAGCACATCTACAGAAAAGCAGAATAATGAAGAATCGATAAACAAACCAAATCCACCAGAAACAACTGAAAACAATTTAGATAAGGAGCATCAGCAAAGTGATGATTTAGAAAAATTGATGAAAATTATATTTGATCCATTTGGAATAGTTGAACTAAATAAACAAATACCCAATGATGATACTAAGAATTTGATGAAAGAAATTTTTGACATATCGGATGAAAGCGTTGAAAATAAAAATAATGAAACTTCTGACAAGGACATTAAAAAACTGATGAATATTATTTTTGGTAATGAGGTAGAAAATGTTGATGAATCACATGAAGATAACACGCATAATGAACAACCTTCCAATAAAATAATTAGCACTAGTATTAGTTCATTGCCAAAAAAAGTTCGTTCGATAAGCGAGGAAACCAAATTTGATGAAGATGATCATAGTTTTATGAATGACTGTATTCAAGCTAAAATGAATATTGAAAAGTTCCACCCCTTTTTTGAATTTGATAAGATAATTGAAATAGAGTCTAATTGTTTGGCACAAAGGAAAGCATTTAAAGAAAAAGATGAGATATACCCATTTAAAACTGATAAATCAAATAAAGATGAAATCGGGGACTCATTGGTTGAAATTGAAAAAGCTATTGAAAAAAAAGAAGAAAATAAAAATACATATACAGACGATGAAACAGCAAGTGTAACAAAAACTAAGGATTTGATGAAAGAGAGTTTTGACATATCGGATGAAAGCGTTGAAAGAAAAAATAAAGAAATTTCTGACGAGTACACTAGAAAACTGATGAAAATTATTCCTGTTTTATTTCATGAGAGTGAAGAGGTAGAAAGTGTTGATGAATCACATGATGATAACACACATAATGAACAACCTTCCAATGAAATAATTAGCACTAGTATTAGTCCATTGCCAAAAAAAGCTCATTCGACAAGCGAGGAAAACAAATTTGCTGAAAATGATCATAAATTTATGGAAGACTGTATTCAAGCTAAATTTAATAATATTAAACATATATTTGACCCGATATTTAATTTTTATAGGTTAATTGAAATAGAGTCTAATTGTTTGAAACAAAGGAAAGCAATTAAAGAAAAAGATGAGATATACCCATTTAAAACTGATAAATCAAATGAAGATGAAATTGAGGACCCATTGTATGAAACTTTTGGGTTTCCTATTAAAAAAAAAGAAGAAAATAAAAATATATATACAGATGATGAAACAGCAAGTGTAACAAAAACTAAGGATTTGATGAAAGATATTTCTGACATATCGGATGAAAGCGTTGAAAGTAAAAATAATGAAACTTCTGACAAGGACATTAAAAAACTGATGAATATTATTTTTGGTGATGAGCTAGAAAGTGTTGATGAATCACATGAAGATAACACACATAATGAACAACCTTCCAATGAAATAATTAGCACTAGTATTAATCCATTGCCAAAAAAAGCTCGTTCGACAAGCGAGGAAAACAAATTTGGTGAAGATGATCATAAATTTATGGAAGACTGTATTCAAGCTAAATTTAATAATATTAAACATATATTTAACCTCTTTTTTGATTTTAATAAGATAATTGAAATAGAGTCTAATTGTTTGGAACAAAGGAAAGCATTTAAAGAAAAAAATGAAATGTACCCATTTAAAACTGATAAATCAAATAAAGATGAAATCGGGGACTCATTGGTTGAAATTGAAAAAGCTATTGAAAAAAAAGAAGATAATAAAAATACATATACAGATGATGAAACAGCAAGTGTAACAAAAACTAAGGATTTGATGAAAGAGATTTTTGACATATCGGATGAAAGTGTTGAAAGTAAAAATAAAGAAATTTCTGACGAGGACACTAGAAAAGTGATAAAAATTATTTTTGGTCCATTTCATGAGAGTGATGAGATAGAAAGTGTTGATGAATCACATGAAGATAACACGCATAATGAACAACCTTCCAATGAAATAATTAGCACTAGTATTAATCCATTGCCAAAAAAAGCTCGTTCGACAAGCGAAGAAAACAAATTTGCTGAAGATGATCATAAATTTATGGAAGAATGTATTCAAGCTAAATTTAATAATATTAAACATATATTTAACCCCTTTTTTGATTTTATTAAGATAATTGAAATAGAGTCTAATTGTTTGGAACAAAGGAAAGCATTTAAAGAAAAAAATGAGATATACCCATTTAAAACTGATAAATCAAATAAAGATGAAATCGCGGACTCATTGGTTGAAATTGAAAAAGCTATTGAAAAAAAAGAAGATAATAAAAATACATATACAGATGATGAAACAGCAAGTGTAACAAAAACTAAGGATTTGATGAAAGAGAGTTTTGACATATCGGATGAAAGTGTTGAAAGTAAAAATAATGAAATTTCTGACGAGGACACTAGAAAAGTGATAAAAATTATTTTTGGTCCATTTCATGAGAGTGATGAGATAGAAAGTGTTGATGAATCACATGAAGATAACACGCATAATGAACAACCTTCCAATGAAATAATTAGCACTAGTATTAATCCATTGCCAAAAAAAGCTCGTTCGACAAGCGAGGAAAACAAATTTGCTGAAGATGATCATAAATTTATGGAAGAATGTATTCAAGCTAAATTTAATAATATTAAACATATATTTAACCCCTTTTTTGATTTTATTAAGATAATTGAAATAGAGTCTAATTGTTTGGAACAAAGGAAAGCATTTAAAGAAAAAAATGAGATACACCCATTTAAAACTGATAAATCAAGTGAAGATGAAATTGAGGACCCATTGTATGAAACTTTTGGGTTTCCTATTAAAAAAAAAGAAGAAAGTAAAAATACATATACAGATGATGAAATAGCAAGTGTAACAACATCTCCAAATGTTAAAGATATGAATGAAGAGAATGACGAAAAAGATACTGAAAAAATAGAAGAAAATGATAATGTGAACGCAAATAGAGATATAGATGAGGAAATAGTAACGCAGTCATATAACACAGAAAGTGAGGAAGAAGATAATGTTACTCTAACAAAATCAGATGTTGATCAGCTTAAAAATATTAACAATGTCGTTCGTAAAGACTTAATTGATTCAATGAATAACGTATTCAAAATGGCAGAGAGTCAAATAGATTATATCTTACATAAGAGAGTTAAGTTTTAAACAGTCATATTAATAATTAATATTAAATAACTTACTAAATCGATGTTTGCTCGAAATTAAAATAATTTGTAATTGTTATTCCTTATAAAAATGTAAACATGACTTTGTAACATCTTATACCAAATATATACATAAGTTAATCTATTTGAGTAATAATCGTTATTTTTCTTTTTTAATGATTCAATAATTTCTTATGTCAAATATCTATTTAGTGTTTATATATTGACGTTAACCTCCTTGAAAGAAATATACTTTTCCAAAACCTTTAAATATATTATACTGATCTTGCTGACTCGAAAATATTGATGTTGCTGACTGACTCAATATTTTATAAATTGTGTCAATAAAGACATTATTTTAATATTTTGCACTAATGAAGTGGCGATTCGAAAGGTGTTACTTAACTCTTAAAACTGACGAAAGTATAAATTAAATCAGCAAAGTTAGTAATTCAAGTATGACTTAAATCAGTTTTAAGACTTAAGTTAACATTGCAAAATCGGCACTAAATATTTGCTAAATAAATATTCAAATATTTTTCTCAAATAAAATTTAAATACTGTGCATTTGAGCAGAAAGTACACTCTATAACTAAAACCGAATTGCAGGTCTCAGTGATCAATTCAATGAGAGCAACAGCAGAACTTTCCACCATTTGAATACACAGTACTTACTATGTTCTTCTAATTTTCGTCTACAATTAATATATAGTATATATGTATAATAATAAAAGTACATATTGTATAAAAGTAATATAACCTACTTATAGTTGTAATAATCATATTACCTACAGCAAATAATAGAAGACATTTAAAATAAGTAAAAATTTTAACTAATTTATTTGTGGGACTTTTTTTTTTAATCGTAAAGTACAATCATTGGCAGTGTATGTATATGAAAATTTTTTTGAAAACTTTCCATTCAATGTAATTATTTTCTATGCTACATAGGTGATAACTTTATTGCATTTACTTAGCTTTCATTCATAAAGTTTCATAAGTTTATACAAATTTTTTTTATCATCATAATTCTTATTATGAAATTGAAAGGGCTATTGAAGGTAAAAAAGGGCTATTGAAGGTAAAAAAGTGTGTTCTGTTGTATTCTTCGATGTCGCACAGGCCTTCGACAAAGTCTGGCACAAAGGTCTTTTGAATAAACTAGAAACATGTTTGCCGTCGTCATATTTTGCGATTTTGAAGTCTTACATTACCTCGAGGTTCTTTTATGTAAAACACGAAAACTGCTATTCAAATCTTTCTGCGATAAAAGCTGGTGTACCTCAGGGCAGTGTACTCGGTCCACTACTGTACCTGCTTTACACAATGGACTTGCCAATAACACCTGAAAATAAAATTGCAACATTTGCAGATGATACTGCTATTTTGGCGATTGCTGACTCCGTTGAAGAATCAATAGCCAAATTACAAACAGCTACAAATTCGTTAGACAATTGGACAAAAAGATGGCGTATCAAACTGAATTCTGCTAAATCTGTTCATGTGGATTTTGCAAATAAAAAAATACAGTATCTTCCTATTTCGATTCAAGGTACTCAAATACCATATGCCAATACTGCAAAATATCTTGGTATAACGTTGGACGCAAAACTTCGGTGGAAAGAACACATAAAAAAGAAACGGGACGAGCTTGACATGAAGTTGCGAAAAATGGAATGGCTGATTGGCCGCAAATCCACAGTATCTATGCAAAACAAGTTTCTGCTATATAATCAAATTTTAAAACCTGTATGGTCGTATGGCGCTGAACTATGGGGGAGCGCTAGCCAAAGTAACGTCGAAATAATCCAACGTTTCCAGAACAAGGTTCTACGGAACATTTTAAAAGCGCCATGGTACATTAGGAACAGCGATATACATCGCGATCTAAAATTGTCCACAGTCGCTGAAGAAATAAAACAGAAAGCAACAAGACACAAACTGAGGTTGCAGCAACATGTCAACATAGAAGCTGTTAACATCATAACTTCGTATGGACAACAGAGACGATTAAAACGGCGAAATGTCGCTGATATGGCATTGAATTAGAATGTAAAGTAATTTGTGTAGAAAATAAATTGCTTATTTATGTATGTATAGTATTTATCAGATTCAAGGTACTCGTTATTTATAATGTAAATAGTTGTAGCATAAAAAAAAAAAAAAAAAAATAATTCTTATTGCAATGTATCTAACGATATTATTGACTTCTTCACATTCTTTTGTATATGGTTGCGATTTTAAGCCACATTATTTTTTCAACTCTCTGATAAAATAATGTTTGAGTACCATCCGTTAAGTACTGACTCCAACGTTTTAAGTTATGTGAATATGATACTCTGACTTTCCTAATACTTATAATGGTGTTACCGCGCTTCCCAAATATCTAATTCGACTATGCATCTATGTTTTATACCTAATTGGATATACTCGTAATAACTTTACAAGTAGTGGATGAAATGCTGTTACCTTCGATTTGGAGATACTCATAATAATTCAACAAGTAGTGACTGAAATACTTTTACCTTATAGGTAATATCACCATACAGGAGAATATTACTTAGATTAAAATAGATTTTAACATTATTTATAGTTAATACACTAAAGAGTAGTTTTAATTTTACTGTAAGGGTTGAAAATCAATAATGCATCTGTTAACTATGACGGGCTTTGGCGATGTATACTTGCGTTGGATAATATCATATTTAATACCTTTTTCATCGTCCGTAATGATACACAATAAGAATATTCGACTTCATTGAGTTTCAATAGCGTTTAACTGACTGTGATTCGATCAATCGAATTTCTGTGCGTTCAAGATGTTTGGATCATCGATCATCTTTACATGTCTACTCCTTTTAAATGATTCCAAGGTGTCAATTGGTTGATGTTAAATGCCTTCACTAAGTCTTGATAACTAACGGGTCGGTCTTGTTTCACCATTTGCTAAATTCCATCAAATTTTATAGTGACTTGCCGAGCAAAGCGAGATATATCTTTAACAACAATATATCCGGAACAGAATCCATTAAACACTTCCGGGTCCAGCAAGCACCCCAATTGTTTGGTATGAATTCACCCTTGTTATAGTAACGAAATATTTCTTTAAATATTTTACTCTTCTTCAAATCAATTTACAAGTCAATTCATGAAAAATGTAACTTGATGTGTCACATTTTAAACACATGTTCGTTTGACGTAAGCGGATTTGTGTTGCCGGATATATGAGTACCAACTCATGTATCACCGTATATCGACTTTTACTTTATATTCCTTTGTTTATGAAATTCAAAAGTGTATAGATAGTAATATTCTTTTCTTATCTTTACACCAATTGTTAATGTAGTAGTGTTAATGTAATATTAGTTATAAACTCTTTTCCATTGTTCCATTGTCACATTTCCAGTTATGGTTACAAATAATTTTCAACGTTAATCACGCCAAGGTACGTTCCAAAATTTTCAGATGTATATAAAAACTAATACTCATATTTGTCACCTCAGTTCTTACTAAAACATCGGAAAGCAAAGAAGTGCTCGGATAGTTCCAATCAAAAAATTTTAGGTACAATTAAATTATTAATAATCAGAGGGAGTAAAGTGTGTTCCAAAAGTAAATAAAATTGAACACGATTTGAACATTTTTTGCTTTTGCATTATTAGAATATTAATGCAAACAAAATGTGTCTGAAGCTTATTTCAATTATCTTCTTAATCATAGCAGTTTTACAAGTACATTCTGCAATATACGGAGACGTTAATGATATATACGAAAAATTTAATAAAATTATTACCACCAAAAATAATTTTTTATCATATCAAATGGACAATAGTAAACAATCACCCAATACACTTGATGATGCAATTTTAGTATTATATCTTAATGATGGCGAATCCAAATTAAGTAAAGAAAAGGATGAACAATCATATATTGAAGCCGGGTTTTACCCAAACGATTTTGCAACTGTTATTAACAGTGCGCAAAAAACACCTAGAAGATTCCCACAATATGAAAGATATATTACACCGGAAAGTTATGACTCCGACAACTACTTTAATACCAATAAGAAAAATCTTAACGAACCTATGATAGCTGGAAATTCTCAGTTTAGTCGTACTTTTAATAAGGACAATAAAATTAAACAAACTGTTTTTAATAAATTGGATGATGGTGATCTAGTAAAAATAATTGTTAGTGCAAATGAAGATATAATATATAACAAACAATTTTCCGATGAAGAAATTAATCCAATACTGAAGACATTTTTTCCTCAAACGCAAAGCAAAATTATTGAATCGAATAAATTAAACAATATCGATAGTTCGGATAATAGTTATTTGTCTGATGAAGATATTAATCAAATATTGGCGACGTTTTATTCTCAATCGCAAAGCAAAATTACTGAATCAAAGAAACTTAACAATATTGATAGTCTGGAGAATAGTTACTTGTCCTATGAAGATATTAATCCAATACTGAAGACATTTTTTCCTCAAACGCAAAGCAAAATTATTGAATCGAATAAATTAAACAATATCGATAGTTTGGATAATTGTTATTTGTCTGATGAAGATATTAATCAAATATTGGCGACATTTTACCCTCAATCGCAAAGTAAAATTACTGAATCAAAGAAACTTAACAATATCGATAGTCTGGACAATAGTTATATGTTAAGCAAAGTTAAGGAATCAACTAAATACAAACCCGATAATGAACAGGTGAATACATTTATTACATTTAAAGCGATAGGAGATACTGAAAGTTATATGAGAAAACCAATATCCATAGAGGATCTTAAACAAATGATGGAACCTGTATTTGGAACGTATTTGGATACTTATAAAAAAGATGATGACGAAGATGATGAAGAAGACGATGACGAAGGTTATGACGAATATGAAAATAATAATATAAAAGAAAAAAAAGAAAAGGATGAAAATGAATTATTAAACCAAATTAAATTTTTTAACCCATTTATGACATATTTCTAAAATATTACTTTATAATTATTACTCTCATAACTATTACTACTCATATGCAAATAATTATTATAAAAATTGTGGATACATGATTTCAATAAAACTTGTATTGGCTATATGAAAAACTATTTAAATCTAAATTTTTTAAAATATTTTTAAATTAAAATAAATTAAG